CAGCTGGGCCTGATGACAGCCCAGGCTGGGACACAGGGTTGGAGTAAATAGTACCAGAATAGCACAATTTGATGAAATCTTCCCTCCCTCCCCCTCACATCTTCAAAATACCTGGAAAGATGAAGACAGTATATTTTTCTTTTTGCATCCAGTTTACGGTCTTTCTGAATCCCACTCACGAACTCTTGAAGTGATCTGTGGACCACCACTTAAGAATTTATGGCCCAGATCTTCCCCCACTCTGTAGCAAACACATTTCTCTTTCCTCCTCTCTGAATTACTGGGCCAGAGAGATAAGCAGACCTCCCAGGGCAGAGAACATAAACCTTTGTGAGGTTTGGCAGACTCCTTTGCAAAGGCCAGACTGTAAATGTTTGTGTGCCCCACATTCTCTTTTGCAGCCACTCAACTCTACCACTGTCACGGGAAGGAGGTTGAAGCCGTCTAGGTAAAGAGGGAAAGAGGTCGATGTGTCTGTGGTCCACAAGGCCATTGTTTGTATACCAGTGATGTAAACATTGTGACAATGAAATTTTGATGTTTCTAGTATCTTGAGGTACCTTTTGGTTTATCAAATGTTAACCAACTTCAGGAATGATCCTGACCATTCACTGGCCTTGGTTGAAATCTCTGTTTAAGGACTTACTCAGACTGTAACCTTAGAAAATGGCCTTAATCTCTCTGAGCATCAATGTCCTCACGTACAAGGTGGGAGGTACAGTCATACTACCCCTCCGATAGGTTCCTGAAGGGACGAAGGAGATGGAATGGATGCTTCCGCTCAGCACTTCCGGAGTGTGACTTGTGAAACCTCAGGTTAGACAGGGTCACAACTGAAGGGAACCACAAATTTTCTTGCTTTCCTTTCCTCTGAACCTCAGGCCGAACACTTTCTAAATGTTTGTTTTCTGATCAGGAATTTGGGGATGGTTCTCCTGGTCGATTGTTCCAGTCGTGCCCACAAAGGAAACTGATGTTCTGCCAGCTTGGGGAGATACCTGACAGATATCTCTGTTACTTTTCAAGTCTCCTGCAAATGAGAGCGTGAGAGAGAAATGTGTGTGTGAATTAAGATCCTGGGTTGAAAGGGAGACTTTCATTCATAAATAGCATATGATATCACTCCTATATGTGGAATCTAAAAAAAAAAATAAGAATGCACTTGTTTACAAAACAGAAACAGACTCACAGACATAGAAAACAAACTTATTGTTACCGGGGGGAAGAGGGTGGGAAGGGAAACATTGGGAGCTCGAGATTTGCAGATACTAACTGCTATATATAAAATAGATAAACAAGTGTCTACTGTATAGCACAGGGAATTATATTCAATATCTTGTAATAGCCTATAATGAAAAAGAATATATGTATTTATAAGTATGACGGATGCATTATGTTGCACAACAGAAATTGACAGCATTGTAAACTGACTAGACCACAATTTAAAAAGTAACTACATAGTCACTGTTGTTATCAATACAGTTTGAGATGCAGCCCTGTAATGTATGAATGCTGCGTTTCCTGGTGGAGTAAATAAAGCAGCATGTTCTCAGTAGGACAGTTGGGGCCACCAAGCCAGAGCGTCCCGAAAGCAAACTGAGGAGGCTGGCCAGGGGGTGAAGGGAGAGCAAGCTGGCCAGTTAGAGCGACATGGAAAGTTTTGCCTTTGGCCAGTTGTTTATTTTCCTTTTTTTCCCCACCAACTGTTCACTGTTAAATGAGACTGGAAAAACGCAGCTGAAACACATCACAGAGGGAATGAAAAGGTCAGAAACAACAATGGGAAACGCAGTGTGTTCTTAGCATCTCAGTGACTCCACCCATGGCTGCTGGCTTGTTAGGAATCCCGTAACTTCCTCCTGTCCTCACTGAACAATGCATCTCAACAAGGACGTGTTTCCACCAGCCCGTCTGTTCCTCGGGTGAAATGTATTAGAGCAGCCGTATTAATCACACAGAGGGAAGGATCAATTCCAAAAAATACTCCAGTTACAGCCATGCTGCAATCAAAGTTATCTGGGTTTTTTTTTTTTTTCAAGGTTATCTTTAAAATCCACCTGTGCCATGCACTATTTAGTTCTGGATAGAAAAATCAGAAATGTTCCGCTGTGGAAGCTGGATTGCTTTAAAGCCATTGCTGTTACTCTGACTCTGATCCTGCCCGCGTGGCTAAATTCACTTTGGGGAACGTCCATATGAAACATTGTATTAAAACTCTAGCTTTGTGTGTCAGCTGGTGCGCCTCCCGTGGGATAATTGAAGGAGGTGGAGGGGTTCACTGGAGCACCCAAATCTTTTGTCCTGGGTCAGTTTCCAGTGAGAGGATTCCTCCTGTCTCCTCCCTGAGAGTCCGGTCCTGGCTGCCGATGTTCAGAGCTGTACGCAGGTCCAGCAGGGTTAGAGGGATACCGTCGCTCACAATGCGCATTTTCTCTTCATCTGCCTTGGAGGTTACAGTTTTTCCCCCGGCCCCTCAGCTGTACCTTTTGTCCCTGAGTGCAGGATCTCTCTGATTCAACTTTTCGAGGGAGTAAGCCTCCTGCCTTTTGCTGGGATGGGGAAAGGCTGGTGGAAAAAGTCACCTGGGTGTGCAGCATGGAGAAGAGAATGTGGGGTCTAACTGCTCTTGATACAGATCGACAGCTAATCTGTTTCCAGCCACACTCGACACACGTCGAAACGTCCTAGCTGCTGCCGTGCGTTTGGAATCACTGAGGCAGCTCTGTGTAATCTGGAGTCTGCTGCTTTCAGATGACGTTGCCCTCGGTGGCTTTTTAGCTTCTCACACTCCCTGTCAGCTATCTCCGCTGGAGAGGTACTCAAGTGCCCGCTAGTAGATTTTAAGAGAGGCAGTCTTTGCTGGTCCTAAGGGACTGGGTTTTTTGTTTGTCTGGTTTTTGGAGTTTTGTTTTTTTTTTTCTTGCCTTTGCACTTTTTAATTTATTTTTTAAATTTAAGAACAATTTTTAAATGAGCAGACCTAAATGGACATTCCTCCAATGAAGTCATACAAATGGCCAATAGGCACGTCAAAAGATGCTCATTATCACTAATTATTAGAGAAATGCAAATCAAAGTTACAACGAAGTGTTAGTCAAACTGGTCAGAATGGCCATCATTAAAAAATCCACAGATGATAAATGCTGGAGAGGGTGTGGAGGAAAGGGAACCCTCCTACACTGTGGGAATCTAGTTTGGTGCAGCCACTATGGAAAACAGTATGGAGAGTCCTTTAAAAACTAAAAATAAACTTACCCCATGATCTAGCAATACCACTCCTGGTCATATATCTGAGAAAATTCTAATTTGAAAAGATACATGCACCCCCATGTTCATAGCAACACTGTTTACAATAGCCAAGACATGGAAACAGCCTAAATGTCCATCAACAGATGATTGGATAAAGAACGTGTGTGTGTGTGTGTGTGTGTGTGATGGAACAATACTCAGCCATAAAAAATTGAAATAATGCCATTTGCAGTAATATGGGTGGACCTAGAGATTATCATACTAAGTGAAGTAAGTCAGATAGAGAAAAACAAATATCATATGTTATCACTTACATGTGAAATCTAAAAAAATTACACAAATGAACTTATTTATAAAACAGAAACAGACACACAGGTATGGAAAACTAATGGTTACCAAAGGGGAAAGGGTTGGGGAGGGATAAATTAGGAGTTTGGGATTAGCAGATGCAGACTACTATATGCAGACTAGATAAACAACAAGGTCCTACTATGTAACACAGAGAACTATATTCAATAGTTTTAATAATCTATAATGAAAAAATATGTCTGTATCACTGAATCACTGTTCTATACACCAGAAACTAATAAAACATTATAAATCAACTATACTTCAATTGAAATTTTTTTACTGTTTTATAACATTAAGGGGCTGTTATTTCAACAAAAGTTCAACAAAGAAAAGTTACAATACCCTGACATATTTCCCTAACAGGTTTAACACTTTTCATGGAATTCCCCTAGTAGTCTTAATCTTTGAATTAGAACTTAAATGATAATATGTCACCTGTAAGAGGAAGTGTGTTTTGAGTACAAATTGCCCAGAAACTAGGTTGTCATCCTTCCTCCTTCCTCTGTCTCATCACTTGTCCCCCTCCTGCATTTAACCCGTGTGAATTCCAGGAGTTTTCTTTCCAAATAGCCCCCAAACCCACCGACTTTCATCATTCCCCTGCCACCACCTCCTTGCAGGTGAGGGATCAGGGACCCTAGGAGCATACTCCTTGGCTCACAGTCCCATCTCTGCCGCTTACCAGCTGCCTGATCTTGCGCACTTGAGTTTGTGAGGCAGTGCAGACAACAGACAGGTTCCTCCTCCATGTGTCATCTCTGAAGCCTCAGCGTCGCCCTCTAGGGAGTCCCCAGGAGTTTTGTTTGGCCAGCCGGAGCAGACTAACACTGAACATTTAAGCAACGAGTTTAACCTTACTGAACAAAACCTTCTTTCCTTATCTGCAGCTTGTAGAATAATTACGCCTGCCTTTATTTTTTTTTTTTAAATCAGCCCTGGCTTAGTACGCGGGAAATGTTTATTTCCAATGAACCTTAGTAGGGAGGCCAGTCTACGATCATCCCTCTTGTAATGATTTATTTTTGTAGACAGTCTCACATTAAAAAAAAAAAAAAGGTGGAAGGCTACAAGTGCAGGAAGGAAGGAAAAAACTGAATTAACCTGAGCATGCAGGGTTGTTCCCCAAAGAATCATCTCTCACCACCTGCCGCCACCTCTGCTTCGTGTGCAGTTAGCGTGTTTGTTTTTCATGCACATCTGAGCGTTGCCTCCATTGTTTTCCACAGACGCGTGTTTAATAACTCACATAATTTGAATTTTGGAACACTTGGCTTTGAGGACCGCAGTGGACATTCAGATACAGGTTCACAAACCTGGGGGTAAAACGCGGACGAAACTGACAGCATTCCTCAACAGGACCTTTCGCTGCTCATTTCTTCAAAAAATGTATTCATTTTTAGGTCTGGAGTTCAAACTCTGCCCCACAATGCCAAGGTCCACTACAACTACGCCAATTTCCTGAAGGACCAGGGTCGGGACAGGGAAGCCATCTACCACTACAGGACGGCCCTCAGGTAAGTGGGGGCGGGTGTCCGCAGTCACGCTTTCCAGGCCCTTGTCTGCTTCACTCACCCCGCCCAGTGCTGGGGGTGGGGGCTGTTAGTTTCTCTTGACAGTGAACGTCCCGGGGGAGGAGCTGTAGGTCTTGAACTCCAAGTCTTTTGGCTCGGGGTTCCAGTCTGGTGTAAGTCTACCTTGCTTCCTACTACCTTGCTCGGTGTTTTCTTGTAAAAATTTCCATTGCGACACCTTATGCAACGAAGTGACACAGTTGAATACATACACACAGGCAAACAGGAGCTGGCTGTCAAAAATGTCCTCGGAAGTTCTCAGGATATTTACTCCCCTGAATTCTTCCCACTCTAGGCTTCCCGCTCTCTAAATGGATTTATATAAAGACATTTGAAATACTCTGATAATTGTGTTAAACAGAAAAAAAATGAGAACACATTTGATTACCATGTTGGGAGTATGGTAATAAGATATGGATATATGCAAATATGTATACAATGTGTATTTTTTTAATTTTTAAAAAATTAAAAAAAAATTTTTTTTATGTGAACAGCCCTGACTCTCTCCTTGTCCTCATCCACTGGGAGAGAACATACCAAACACTCTTTAGAGACGACTTTTAAGGAGAATTCACGTTTAAGCTCCGCGTTACCAGCAGCAGTCTGTCTTGTTCTTAGGGACTCTTTTAAACTCAACTCTGACTTTCAAGATGATCTGCCCCCAAAGATCCCAGATAATAAATGTATTTAACCTGGAACGTATGGAGACATGACAACTAAACACAGCCTCAAAATCTCCCACTGTGGGCAGATCCTCTCTTTTATTGAATACCGTGAGGCTCACAGAAGTCTTTTGAAGAAGTTCGCCTGCCCCTACAGGGTGGCCCACGTTTGGTTGAATTTCCTCATCCTGTTCCACTTTGGGACCTGCTCTAAAATATACATAGCCAACAAATCACACGTTTCACTGAAGCGCCCTGCTAGTGTTGTCTCAAATGTCGACGAAAATAATCAGTGAACAATCAGTAATAAGAATAGACAAGAATTTTATTTGAGCCAAACTGAGGACCAGCCCAGAAGCCCGCTTCTCAGAGGCACTGCTCCGGAGAAGCGCGGCTTCCTGCACAGTTTTGTATTTTGTCAGAACAAAGAACATTAAAGGAGCCAGGGATACGTTTCTTCAAGGTTTCACAAAAAAAGGGCAGACCAGCACATACGCAGCAAGTCAGCGTGGCCTCGGCCCCTGGGAAGGGAGTCTTATCATCAAGGGAGGACCAGCCGCTGGGGTCCCGGGAAGAGAGGCATTTAGCCTTTAACATGGACATTCTTCTGGTCACTGTGCCCTTTTGTTTTAATAATTAAAGCAGATGTACAATGTATGCTGGATAGGCCACAAACAGGCTGTTTTCAGTCAGCATAAAAATCAAGTTAACTCGTGCATAAGCCAGAATGACTCCGCTAAATGTCAATATGTGAAATTTTCTCTTATCACAAGGCTTCGTTTGAAACTGTCATTCTTAAAGTAACGGATATAGTGTTAAAAGTTATCCTTTTCAACAGTGTTCTACTAAGTATATTGTTCATCAGTCAAAATTTTTTAGATTTTAGGACCTATAATTTAACATTCAATATGGCAAAAAGTTTTAAACTGTGCACACCAAGTTCCCCTTTCCAAAGATTTCAAGAAATATAAGTCCCAGAGGAAAAACTGTAACAAAGGTTTTCATTGAGGAAAAGGAAGTTTTATTAAGAAATAGAAGACATTTTTTAAGATCGAATGAAGAATTCTATTTTTTCACTGCCAGCTGGTTTATCCAGATGTTTACAAAGCTTATCTCTGGTGAGTGGGGTTATGGTTTAATTTTTTTCTTTCCACTTTCTTTCGTGCTCCAAATGTTCCACAGTGAACATGTATTATTTTTGAAATAAGGAAATGTCATTTTTCAAAAGACACGCTCCTTCTAGGGACATTCAAACAAATGAAAGTGTGTTTTGGCTTTACTAATTAATTAGTGGTTCATGATTTTAGGTGGCATTCTTAAAGGGCAGAAACATTTGCCTGAAAAACAGACTATTTTCCGTCAAGTTCAAACAGAAGTACGGCAGACTCAGTTTGGGGCAGAGGTATAAATTAAGCGAAATTCTCTGGCAGCTAATTTTACAGAATTACAGTAACTGGTTGGGGCTTCCGCTTCTTTCCCAATAAACAGTAAAAATAAATCTTTGCTTCAGCAACTGTCTTTCTGGAAGAAACATGTCCCTGGAGAAGTGGGGAGAAAACAATTAAAGCTGCAAATAGACTGCACAGAAATTGGTGAAGTATTTTACCCTCTCACACCAGGCCCAACATGCTTAGGATTTAAAGCATCCTGGTTTTTGTATGGTGAATTTTCAATGGATGCTTTTTTTTTTAATTTAAGTAAATTGTCACTTTTTGTGTTAGAAAAGAAAAATACTAGGACTGTTCACCATTTCGATGGTTATTTAGCCCAGGTGACTGGAAGACTGTCCATCTTTTAATATTTTTCTTTACGGAGGTTGCTGGAACACGGATTCCGCCCCCTCCCAACCGCTCTACCCTACACCTTTGGTGTATCTGACCTTTTCCAAATTTGCACGCAGCAAGAAAAGAGAATGATTAGGGAAATGCAGGATTAAAGGCGATACTATCCGAAATCTGTTCCAACAGTGATTCCTTCTTGTTATGACCGTCCAGATCACAAAGGCAGTGGTGAAATTAGTCATTAGGGTTGAGTCTACACCAGGGTCTTTTTGTCTGGCTTATGGGTCTTAAAATAACACTATATTAAATTGGTGATTATATATGACATGAATATTTTGCTGCTTTTAAACTTTATTCTGTGTTTGTAAAATGTGGAGGCACCACTGACTTCTCCTTCATGTTGGGCACCTCGTTTATGGTACTTGTGAAGTGCAAGGGAGATCTCCCTTGGAAAATGCTGCATAGATTCAGATGAGCACCCAAGTCATCCAAGAAAGTTGTCAGAATCCCCTCCTTAAACCCTCCACTAACTCGAGTATCAGCTTTCCTTGGCTGTGAGGGGCACCTCTCGTGTTTATGTCTCTTGGGGTGCTACAAAGCTCGGGATTCCATACGGTGGAAAATCAGAACACCACTGGGGGACCTGCCAGGGGCCTCCAGGGCTTTCTGATTATTGAGTTACTTTGGGGACGGTTTCTACCATTTCACCTCCTAGGATGGGAGTCGAAGTCCAGAGACCACCCCCCACCCCCGGCCATTAGGCTCTTCCTGTACAAAAACTCCCGTGAAATGACCCCTCCAATAAAGCCTAAAAGAAGAGGCCGTGGTCGCACCTGAACACGGTGCAGACGATACTGAATGTGTGCTTGGCCAGCGGCTTGTTGATTAGCTTAAAAGCCCAGTGAAACGTGAGGAGTCATGAAACAAATTAGGCACACTCTTGAATTTTTTTTCTTCCCAAAATTTCACATGTACGCCCATTCACCAGTCCTCCTAATGTCAAAGCAAGTCCTCTTCTTTGAGTAAGAGCCTACTGATAAGAATCTGCAAAAACACACATCCCTAATTCTTTTCTGTGGTGACCAGTTTTGATCCTTTGAAGTGGAATAAAAATGTTGAGATTTTTCTCCTCCAGTCTTCTACAATGAATCTTACATCAGATTCAATTATTTGAGGAAATTCCCTTTTTTGAGTATTTCCAAAATATTTACTTGGCCTTCATCGAAATTACAACTTTCTTTTTCATATTTATATTGTATCAGTTTGCAAAAATATTTCATCATATTGTGCAATGGCAATAAGCAACTGGAATAAATTGTTCATAAACCTAACTGACTCTGAGCAGTCATGCAGCTCAGCTGACCCGAGCAGAAGGGCCCAGGCTTATAGAGAAGGTTTATTAAGTGGCAGGAATCCACCAGTATGTTTTACAGACACTAGGGAACATCTGGAAAAATGATGATACAGTTAAGAGACTTTTAAAGAAGTCTTCACTGTAGGTGTTAGAGTCTCATGGAAATTGTTTTGCATCTTAACATTTAGATTCCCCGCGTGACTTAGTTACTGGTTAATATGAGCTGGTCAACAGGTCAACCCTGAGCCTGGGAATGAGGATAGAGTTCACCTTTGTTCAGGTGGATCCAAAAGGTCTCCCCACTGTCAGCAGGAAACTACCCCAGGATCCACTGAGTACTGTTCACTTAGATGCCCCCTTCCTTCCTGCCCACTACAAGCCCCCCACCCCCCACCAAGGTTTGCTGACGCGTCAGCCACGTGCAGGATTCCATCCTTACAAAAAAAAAAAAAGTCTGTGATCCTCAGCTGCCCAGAGAGCTGTTTTCACAGGCATGGTTTCAACATGAAATACACGGAAAATCATCTCAAGATTTCCCACTCCCATGCTCAGGTGTTTGGGGGCAGCCAGGGGACCCTTGGAGGGGCCTTGTCCTCTTCTAATGTATTTGTTGTTGGCGTTTTAAATAGAAAATCTGAAGGAAAAGAGAGCTGTGTTCATAGGGGGTTGAAGTCCCAGACCAGGCTCTTTTCTCCTGGCATAGCTAAAAGGAAAGGAATGTGCCTTTAATGCTTCTGTACAAAAGAAATCTCCATCGCTATTTAACTGGCTAATGCATGGGAAAGGAGAAGCTAAAATCTTTCTGATTGGAATTTTTTAATGCATAAAATAGAGACTTGTCATGATCACGGTGCCCGCTGCTCTCATTCTTTGTTACTCCCTCCTGTGTGGATAACTGAACGTTTGCAGAGACACCATTAGACTATAATAAATGTATGTGGAAAAAAGGAAGTAATAAAACAATGATTACTGAAGAGAGCCGTATCATGAGAGTGTAAAGAAATCTATGTCTAATTCAGTCATTATCCATTGATGTCCTGTGCGTATCAGTAAGGTTACTTTATTATAACGCCTTTGAAAAATGTTGTGTATGAAACTGGTGGAATTTGAACATATTTTTAAATCAGGATGTAATGACTGTTCCAA